GGCAGACGGAGGAAGAGGAAGAAGTGGGAGAAGGCAGCAGCACCGAGAGCGGCCGCGATGAGGTGAGGGGCCCGGAGGGCGACAGCTCTGGGGAGACCCGGCCAGAGACAGGTGCGGAGAAACCAGACAGAGACACGGAGACAGGGAGAGACTCCTGAGAGACGGAGACAGAAACCCATAGCCAGAGAATCACTGGGAGGCCAAGACAGAGATAGTCTCAAAGGGTGACAAAGGAACAGAGACAGGGAGAGAGACCCAGAGGTAGGGAGAGACTACTGAGAGACAGAGACCAGATAGCTAGAGATTCACGGGGAGGCCGGGAGAGACAGAGATAATCCCAAACGGTGTCAGAGACACAGAGACAGGAAGAGAGACCCAGAGATAGGGAGCGACTACTGAGAGACAGAGACCACACATAGAGCCAGAGAGACCAGACTGAGAGAGATAAAGATAAAACAGAGACTCAGACATGTAGATTGAGAGACAAAGATCCAAAGGAGACAGAGAGAGAAGATTGCTCCCAGAGATAAATAGAGATTTAGAGAGGGGGTAGAGATACAGCGAGAAATCAAGAAACAGAGAAACAGAAATAGAGACAGAGAGACCTTGAGAGAGGGAGATACTCCAAGGGGAAAAGAGAGATCTGGCAATTCAGAGGCAGAACACAGATACTGGGGGCCCCTCAGATGGTGTAATGGTTATGTCGCTGGACTCCCACTTGGCCGACTGTGGTTCCAGTATCCGACCCGGTGGCTTCAAACTCATGCTAGGAGTGTGTGTGCATGCCCCAAATCCTGAGAGAAGGGCTTGCCTCCTGGCCATCTGCCCTGGGGGGGGGGGTGATTTCTCGCTTTCTGTCTCTCTGTCCCTGTCTCTCCGATGAGCACAGCAGCCCTATAGCAAAAATCTCTCTTAAAAAATAAATAAAAAGAAGAAACAGAGAGACCAGGAGGTCAGAGAGAAAGATGGGGGGAGGTGGGGACAAAAGGGGGAGAGCGGGAAGGGAGAGAAGCGGAGAGGGAGCTATCTAGGGACTAGGCGAACGTGACCTGAGAATGGGACCTGCATAGAGAAAGTCGGCCCCTACCCCTCTGCGTGCTGCGAGTCGTGGAGTGGGGTCATCGGACCTGCAGTTCCTCACTCCGACCTTAACGGAGAGAGCCTGAGACAGATATTGGCATGGTGGTTGACTTAGGCCGACTAAGACCCCTGGGGGTTGGGGACCGGACCTAATGAACGACCGCGCAGGGGGCCGGGACTGCGGGGCCAGGGACCGGGGTGGCTGGATACTCGGCCCCCAGGGTGTGGGCGGAGGAGGAGGCCGCGCTGCCTCTCCACCTGACCACTCCCTCTTCACCTGACCACGCCCTCCCCAACTCCAGCCTGAGGCCACGCCCCCCGCACAGACCCCGGCCACGCCCCCCGCGCCCACCACTCCTGGGGAAGGGGTGCGAGGGGCAGCGCGGCGGCTGCGAGGGCAGCAGCTGGAGGCGCTGACTCGTGTGGCCCTGATGGAACAGCGAGTGAAGGAGCTGCAGCGCCAGAGGAAGGAGTTGAGGATCGAGGTGAGGCCGCCGACCTCTGGGAAGTGTGGTCCCAACTCAGGGGGAACCCACAGGCTCCCGTAGGATTCTAGGCCCCAGCGCGTCCTCCTTCCAGATCCATGTCCCTGGGCCTCCTCGTCCTTCCAAATCCAGAAGACTCGGCCCGCAGACCCCTAGCTCAGACACGCCGATCTGGGCCCCCAGCCCCTTTCGCCCTCAGGCCCCCAGCACCTGCGCGCTCAGCTGTGGCTTTCTCTCGGCAGATGGAGGTGGAGGTGGCCCTGCTGCGGGGCGAGCTGGCTGGGGAGCGAGTGGCCCTCCGGCGAGAGGAGGAGCAGTTGCGAGAGCTGCTGGGGCCGCAGGTGGACGCGGAGCAGCGGGAACAGGTCTGTTGGCCCGTGGAGTCTTAGCCACCAGTTTCCTTCCTTGTCTGAGGATATTCTTTCCCGTGCACTCCGTGACCTGCATCCTGGGATTGTTGCCATTTGCGTCCGGGGGACAGTGAGATGCCTCTCCCTGCCTTCCTTCTCCCTCCCTGGCCTGATTTCCAGGTCTGACTCATTGGGCCTTTTCCTTTGCCTATCTCTATTTGCTTTTTTGGGGGGAGAGGTTTTTGCTACTGGGCGCGTGTGCTCGCCAGAAAGACAGAGAGAGACAGAAAGCGAGAAATCCACCCCCCCACACCCCCCCCCCATGGCCAAGCCGCAATCCCTTCTCCTCCATTCTCCTCTTGGGATCTTGGGCACGCACACACACGTGCTGCACGTGAGTTTAAGCCGCCGGGTCTGGGACTTGATCCGCGGTTGACTACATGGGAGTCCAGCGACACAGCCACTACGCTAACTGCTGGGCCCTCTCTTTGCTCTTTAAATGTCACACTAGGAAAAATTTCAGACGTACAAACAGAATAGTCAAGTGGCCCCGATGCCCTGTGCTCACTGGCTTCAGCAGCAACCCACCTTCCATTGGTCTTTCCTACCCCCATTTGCTCCCCTGCCCCTAGTTTCAGAAGCTAAGCCCAGATGTCATGCTGCTTGTAAGCATCAGCATGTATCATTTACAGATAAAGACTCCTTTTTAGAAACAGTATCAGTTGGTCACCTGTGGTTCTGGCGAGAAA